CTATATAGTTTGGAAATGGTTTTTTTTTTGTGAATTTTAAATGCTACTGTTGATATATATTATCTAATTTTTTCATGTTACCAAATTCTTCAGAAATCTATATGGAATTGCCTGAAAGAATGAAACTGCTCCAGAACTTAGAATTTGAGGTAGTATATATTATGCTAGTTTAAAGATTAAAAACAGTAACTTTAAAAATAGCTTTTATTGATTTTATATATGCAAACACCTATGTAAATATTTCTTATTTTTGAAGTAAAACATTTAATCACTTTTGAATATTTTTCCTCTCAAGAAGAATTTAAAACATTTTTAATACATTGAGGGTAGTTTTTGAAACAAAACCTCCTTTTTTTTCTTAAGTGAAGTAAATATGGCTTTAACTCTTTTAAATCTATTTAAAATAAAAAGCCTGGTATTTAATAAATAAGAATCATATAGTTGGGCAATAAATGCAAGTTTCTATTTTTGTTCTTTCATGAGGATGTGAAAACAAAAGTTTTATTTGGATAAACTGATGAGCTTTTACAAAATGAATGGGAAGAGGGAAAATATTTTTAAGCTAAGAAAAAATGCAACAAGGTGAAGAAATTTTCTTATGTGTTCATAGTGTACTATTTCTAGGGCAGAAGGAAGAAATGTGTGTATTATTTGGGAAAAATAATATATCCTTTTTCAGAAGTTACCATGTTTAGGTAAAAATTTTAAACAATGTATGTCTGGTTTTTTAAATGTAAAGAGAGTGTATATGCATATATATATAGAATATATATAAATTAAATACTGATTTTTTTCCCTCCTCTTTAACACTCTCACCTTAACATTTAAGTAACAAGCCAGCTTTGTTGAAACAAATTATAAAAAAAATTGAAAGTTGAATTCACTAACAATAATAATACTAAGAATAATAAACCAAGGTGGTAAACGCTCAAAGAGAGTGAAGCTTTCAAGCTATCCTAGACTTAGGGTTATAACTGCAGAGCAACCATAATGATATGGTTTCCATAGCAACTGATTCATTGGAGGGCTAGACCTCTGTCTAGGTTGCTGTCAGTGTATGTAGAGTTTCAGCGAACAGAAAGTCCCAAAGAAGGGCCTGCTTCTACCTAATCCAGTTTTAATTGAACTCTAGAGACTTTGAAGTGGAGCCTTGGACCAGGCATATACTATTCTACTAAGAAATGAACTTCTTGCTTAGCTAGGCCTCTGCTGCTTTTAAGTACCGACACCTTTTCCTAATGAATAGTCTAAAGAAATGTTGTGTTGTTATATCAATTTCAGCTAGCAATCCTTCAGTTAAGAGACTCTCGTTTCTATTTTAAACCCCAAGTATCTTGACCATACTGTAGAAATTCATTTGTTAATTTTTTTCTTTTACAAACTTAGGCTAGTTTTTTTGTACAAGGTTTTAATTTTAATTTTAATTTTTGATACCTTTCGTAATTTTAAACAATTTTCTGTCTCCCCTCCTGTTTTGCTTCTCTTAGGTTTAAAATACTACTAGACCTTCTTATATTTAATTTGGAAAACAAAGTATCACACATTCAGTATGATACCATTTTTACCAGGTTTGCAAACATAGAAAGCAGTGCTGGATGTTACGTATGGATTAATTTGTACTAATAGTATAAAAGCTTACATGGGGATAATAAACCTCAAAACAAGAATAGTGATTGGCTCTGACAAAGGAGGAAAGTGGGATCGGGAAGGTTTATGCATGGGAATTTCAGCACTATCTGTAATACTTTTATTGATTTTTTAAATATATGCAATAATATGGCAAAATTTTAGGATTTTGTAAGTTTGAGTAGTGGGTTTATGGGGCTTATGTTCTTTTCTGTACTTTTCAGTATTTTTGACATTTAGTAATGTCAGAATTTTAAAGGATTATGAACACTTACTGTATTTAATGTAGATCTTTGAATAACCATACTGCTTAATGGAATGGAGTACAAAATTAATTTTTTGGTTAATCAGAAAACTATTTCAATACATTAAAAATCTTATAACAATGTTTGGTGTACTTATTTCTGCTAACAAATGGAGTATTCTGGAATATCATTTAATCTTTAATTGCGTGACTGTAACTTTGCAATGACTGGCATCACCATTATGAGCAACAGGTCCTGTTGTACAAATAAGACCTACAGATATCAAAAGCAGAATTTTTAGACAAGTGTGTGATATTCTTAGCATATCACAAAGCTTAAAGGATCCATTATTGTTTGTTTTCCTTTTATTTTTCTCTTTTACCTTTAACCAAAGTGCAGGAAAGCAAATGTAGTTGACTGAATTTTCCAGTGAGATGGGTTCTAGTTTAACAAATATTTAAACCTTTTTTAGAAATGTGATAATATGATTTATAATGGATGAAGACTTTTGGATTAGAAAACCTAGGAGTAGGCCACACTCTGCTACTAACTAGTCAAGGGACTTATTATTAAGTTTTTAACGAGCCTGGGCTTTATTTTTCTTATGACTAGAATAGTCAATGTTGGACTATAAAGTCTTATCAGACATATACTGGATTCTCTAATATTTGATAAATCCAGGGTGGCAAACTCAAATACCAGTAGAAACTAGGCAGATAGTAGTAAATGAGTAAATGCTCATTGCACATTAGTAAATAGTGATGAGTGAAGTAGGAATGGTGCCAATATGGACGAGTGCATGCCTGTTGTTACCTTGTGGTATATAGATCCAGGTTTGCCGATACTTCAGTTTTTTCCGAGAAACCAGAAATCTCAATATATTCCAGTACTTGAAAATATGCATTTTCTCACGTATTTTCCAGTACTTGAAATTTTGTTAAAAGATCGTATGGACCAAACAATATGGATTTGGGTCATATATGGAGCTTTGTTGCCATGCATTGATTCATTTAGTCATTCAAAATGTATCTATTTTGTGTCATTTTTCTGGGCAATGGAAATAAAGTGTTGTCAAAGTCTTTGTGCTAATAGAACTTAGATTCTAGTGTTCTAGTGCTGAAGACGCATTACACAAGCAAGTAAATACTACAATTTCAGGAGGTGGTAAGTGTTAGGAAGAAAATCTGATGAGTTTGGGATGGGATAAGGTGGTAATATAGAGGGAGGTGGGGATTAGATCTTGTGGCTTTTCTGAGGAGGTGACAGAAGAGCAGAAGTCTAAATGTGAGAATGAGTCAACAGTGTGGAGATGTGGGAGAACATTCCAGGCAGTGGGGAAAACAAGTGGAACACAAGGCCCTGAGGAAGAATGAGCTGAGCTCATCAGAGTTCCAGATATAAGGCCTTATATACATCGATAGAGTAAGAGTTTACTACACATGTAATGGGAAGTCACTGGATGGTTTTAAAAACAGGAGTGAAGTGATCTAATTTATATATATATATTTTAAAAAGTTTGTTTCCTCTGGTCTTAGTAGACTCTAGGAGTAGGAATAGAAGGAAGGAGACCAAATGGGAGGCCACTGCAGATGCTAGAGGCTTGGACCAGCTGGTGCATCTCTGGTCATGTGCAAGGAAGAGATACAGGAAACTTCTTTTAAAAAATTCTTTAGAATAATACTAGTATTTTTGTCATCTTTTTTCCTTGTTCATTTCTCTTGATCTTACTTATACAGGTATTGGTTGTACTCGTATGAGTTAGTAGGATTTCTCTATCACCAATTTTAAAACTGAAAGCATGACTAGTTATTTGTCCTTTGAACTTTTTATTTTGTTTTTCCAAAAACACTGTGCCTTAAAATTGTAACCCTTCTTTCAATTTCTAGATTCTGTGGTGACAGAAATAGAATCATTTCTGTAGAAAAATTGAAATAATACTTAGTAAACTAAATAAGGGTGGTTTCTTCTTTTCATAGAAACTACATTTTGCATTGAAGAATGGAGATTTGTTAGCAATTAGGATGTGGATAGTGGAAATGAGTAGAGGAAAGAATAGTTTGTGTAGGATAAGTTCTTACTACTCATTATTTTCCTTCTCTGCTCATCCATTTTTATCCCTACAATGCAATATTAATAGTCAAATGATATTTTATTTGTATTTTTTAATGGCAGTTACTTTTGGGAGACATATCTTAATTTTAAAACTTCATTTGCTTTCATACATTTTCATCAGGTTTTGATAGCAAATGCATCTCATTTTCTTTATTAATATTATGTATATTAATGGTATGGAAAAATGCTGAATCTGGTTTTCTTTTAATACTTTCATGATCAAGCTTTTGAAATGAACTTTATGAAAAAAACAAAACTTGAATAACAAAGTGGCTTAAGACTAAAGACAGGATTACTTTGAGTTGGCAAAGCATTTTAAGCAACTGTGTCTGTCACATGGGATGACAAGCATTGTAACAAGTTACTCTGACAGCCACCTACTCCATAGAGAGATTATGCTTAGTTCATTTGCAGGTTTGTGTTTAGCCTTGACTGACAAAATGATACTTAACCTCTTATACTGTCAGTCTTTGTGCTTTCTCACTGAGTGACTGTTATCTGAACAGTAGCTGTAAAAGTGTCATTTTTTTAGTTATGAACTTATACTTGTATATATACTTTAAAGTTATGTGAAAAGTACTACTGGGAAAATTATAATCATATTATGTGAAATTGAGTTGTGTATGTGATTTGTAAGCATTTATGATATTCTTTTGAGGTGTTCTTTGTAAGGTTTTATCTGAAACTTTACTTTCGATAATGCGATTTAAAAATCAACCAATAAATGATGTAATATGTATTTCCTGAGAAGCAATAGATTACATCATTGTTTTTAAAAGCCTCCATATATATTTATACTTAGATGCTTTGTAATTTTACTCAGCTTTTTCATTTAAACTTCTTTTCCATAAACTACAGTCTATTTTCTTAGTCTTTCTGCAAATTATTTCAATAACTCATATTATTTTTCTTAGAAATTATTTTTCTTCAAAGGGTCTTTTCTATTTTAATTTGGGGTAAAAAACAAAATAAAAATTTAGTATTGTCACTTACTGGGGATTTATTTTTCATTATTAGATACTGGCATACACAGAAGGCCTGCATGGAAAATGGCTATTCACAGAGATACGATCAATCTTTTCCCGTCGTTATCTTTTGCAAAATACAGCGCTGGAGATCTTTATGGCAAACAGAGGTAATATGTCGCACTAGCACATGATTACTTAGCTAATTTACATCTCCTTAAGATTTTGTTTGAACATACCATATTGTTTCCTTTTAGAAAGTATTTTGTAGTCCACCCTCTGACCTACTGACCGCTTTTTTTATGTGTCACATACATCTTCATGACTTTTTCCCCCTTAATCATTTGTAGAATCATTGGTAGTTCTTTTCTTTTTCTGGCCATATCACAAATTAGTGCAAGGCTTTATAAGTATGGGGAATAAATAATCATTTAATCAGTTGTGGAGTTTTAATGTCCTCAGCATTGCTTTGATGCTTCACCTTCTGGAAGGTGGCTGCATTTGGGGAGGGGAGAGGATAATCAAATGATTCATACATTTATTTAATCTTTTGTCTGTTACTATTATAAAGGGATCAACAGAAAATGGTACTGAACTGTCCTGTTTGCTTTGTATTACCTCAATTTTGAAGGTTGAACTAAAATCCACTTTGCTGGTTTAGAATGGAACTTGGTGAAATTAATTAAGATAGGAGGGGAGACAAATTGAACTTGGAAAAACATCATTGGATATGAGGGGAGGCATACAAGGAAAAATATATAAAACCTAGTATTGTATATACATAGGTTGATGGTTTCTTATTTGTTATTTCTGTAATTAACAAGTCATTTTTAAAAATTCACAAGTAACAGCATATATTCCATGTACACATTCTTTTTCCTTTAGGAAATCATGTGTCTTCAGGGAATATAAATTTCTTTAGGGAAAGATGTTTTTCCATTTCCTATTTGATCTCCCCCCCCCCCATACCTCTTTTTTCCTAATGTAAACATTATTCTTCCAGGCAAATAATCAAGCAAATGGTTCACACTTCAGTTCCGTCTGCATTCTTGCTGCCCCAAAGGGCTTTCAGCCTTACAGTATTTATTACTTGCTCATCCTCATTCATTTTCCTTCTTTGAAATTTCTCATGCATACTTGCTTTTGTATGTATGTTTTTCTATTGTATGTATGCCTTTGCCTCATGGCCTTGGTCATCTGCCATAACATAACCTATGATGGTTTTTTTCTTCTGCTGCTTGATTTTTCTTTTTCTCTATATTAAATGTAATAATGGATATATGAGGAAGGCTTATTTAAAAGGTGTACATATATGACATTCCTAAATATGTTGTAGATGCTTAGTAAGTGATCGATTACTTATTTACCTGAACCATGTTGGTAATGCCTGTGTTTAAAAGCTATAGTAATCAGGAATCGATATTGGTAATTTTTTTTTTTTTTGGCCTAAATATTTCTTCAGTCTAGCTAGAGAAGGATCATCATCATCTTTTTTTTTTTTTAATTTGGGTGGCTGGCTGGTATGGGGATATGAACCTGTGACCTTGGTGTGCACTCTAACTACAGCTAACCAGCCAATCTGAGAAGGATCATCTTCTAGATAAGCACATGTCACTTATATATGGTTCTCATATTGACTTTAACATATAATTAAAATTTTAAGACTGACCAAATTAATATTTTCTAAGTTCTCTGTCATGTTTTTATAACTTTATTTTCATGCTTTTTTAAGATAGATAAAAATTTATTGGTGACTGCCATAAATTAACATTTATATGCCAAATATGTCTATATATTGACATGTGTTTCTTGATATTCTCATACATGTATAATTACTGACATAGAAATATTTACAAAGAATTTAAATTTGATTGTTAACCATAGATGAAAAGTTTTCTTTCAGATCTCCCATTGTTCTGGATTATATGAACATATGAGGTTTAAACTTATAAACATTATACAGAGAATGTTTTTAAAACTGCTTATTATTAAAATAAATATAACATGATTTTTTAGCTATAGTGTAATTCTTTGGTGTTATATTGTTAACTATATAAACTCAAGTTTTTAAAATAGTTCTTTCTAGAAATTCATAGAAATATATTTGAATTGATACACTTCAAAACATCATGTTGTACATGATAATTATTTACAATTTTATTTGTTGTTTTAAATTAATTAATTAATTTGAGAAAAGGTGCTTAAACTTACCAAAAAAAGAAAAAAAAAATTTGACTTGCCAAAATTCAATTTTGTAAATTCAGAGTTGTAGATAGATAATCTCAGCTTCATGTCACGTTAATGCAACAACAGTTGGAACTCTTGATGGTATTTAGAGAAGGAACTCTGTATGGTAAAGGAGTTTATATGTGAAATGAATATCACCTCTGATATGTTAATACTAAAACTTGATTTGTACTATAATAAAAGGAATGTGGTAAGAGTAATATTTAATAGATACCTGAATTAAGAATAAATATTTTATTGGACCAATAAGTTAGTTTTCCAAAAAGGAAATCATATTGTATTCTAATTTTAAAAAATTACTTGTCATAGTTGCTGTAATGTTCAACTTCCCAGACCCTGCAACAGTAAAGAAAGTGGTTAACTATCTACCTCGTGTTGGTATTGGAACGAGCTTTGGATTGCCTCAAACCAGGTACCAATTTATATGAAAAACAATGGAAAATAATCTATATTACTATTCTTATTTATTAATCTATATTAATATTATATAATTAATATTATATTATATTATTAACACTAATCTGTATTAATGTTTTTATTATTTATTTGGAAATGAATGGCTTTCTATTTTATGTTTCGTAGTAAATAGTGATTACTAGTGTATTAAGTTTTATTTGAGTCGACTGAATTGTAATATACTTAGTTTTCCCTAGCATATAGTACAGTATCTAGCACAATGTATGTATTCTGCAAATAATCATTAAATAAAAGATTCCCTAACCTTTCCCTGCCAAGATAAAAGTACTCTGCAAGATATACTTTTTATTTCTTTGATGGAAAATTTAAATTTTAACATTTTGGGAAAGATGCATATAAAATGATGTATATGTCATATATACCATAATCATATATATACACACACAAGTTAGAAAAGGTTTATTTATGCTTCTGATTTTTGCCATTAAAAAATGTATGTATTACAGTGCGATGCCACTACATTCTCATCACAAAGGCCAAAATGAAAAAGAGAAACAATACCAAGTGTTAGATCAAATGCGTAGCAACTAGAATTCTCGTACACTGCTGCTGGGGAATGTAAATTGGTACAGCCACTTTGGAAAACTTTTTGCAAATACTGAGTAAAGTTGACAACTTCCATGCCCTACGATCCAACAATTTTAGTCCTGGGAATAGGTCCAATAGAAATGCATACATATGTTCACCAAAAAGCATGTGCAAGAATGTTTATATTAGCATAATTTATGATAGTCTCAAACTGGAAACAACCCAAAAGTCAATCAGCAAAAGAATGGATAAATAAACTGTGATATAATCATACAATGGCATATACAACAATGAAAACAAGTGAACTACTGGTGCATGCAGCAATATGGTTAAATGACGGAAGCTAGAACAAATGATTCTGATTGCATAACATTCAAAAACACGTAAAACTAATCTCTAATTTTAGTTGTCAGGATACCAAGTTATTTTTTGGTGAGTAGTAGTTTTTGAGTGGGGGCATGAGAGGGCTTCCGAAATGCTGCTAAAAATCTATTTCTTGTCTGGGATGATGGTTCCCCTGGTGTTTATTTTATAAAAGTTCATCAAGCTGAATCACTTATGATTTTTACTTTTTAGTGCAATAAATGGTTTAAAAAATATAACCATTGTTGTTTGTTACATTAGAAACATTTTTTATTTCTAAATCTTTTCATCAGCATAATTGGAATTATTTGTAACCAGAGTTTTAGACTGTGTCTTTTTCACTTAATAGACCCTGCATATTTTATCAGGTCATTAAAAATGTTTAAAAGCAAACTAGGCCCAAGTTAGTAGAAAGAAGGAAATAATAAAAATGAGAACAATAACAAATAAAATAGAGACTAGAGAAATAATAGAAAAGATCAATGAAACTGAGAGTTGATTTTTTGAAAAGATAAACAAGATGAACAAACCTTTAGCTAGACTAACTGCGTTAGTTCATTTCTGTTGCTTGTAACAGAATACCTGAAACTGGGTAATTTATAAAGAAAAGAGGTTTTTTGGCTCAGGATTCTGGGACAGCTGCATGTGGTGTGGGCCTCAGTCTGCTTCTACTCATGGCAGAAAGTGGCATTGCAGCCCATGGGTACAGCAGATCTCATGGTAAGAGGAAGCAAGAGAGAGAGGGAGGGGAGGTGCCAGGGTCCTTTAAACAGCCAGCTCTCATGGGAACTAAAAGAGTAAGAACTCACTCACCCCAGGGTGGGCATTAATCTATTCATGAGAGATCTGCCACCCCATGATCTAAACAGCTCCCAATACTGCCACATTGTTGATCAGATTTCAACATGAGCTTTGGGGGAGACAAAATATCCAAATTCTATCACTAACTAAGAAAAAAAGTCAGAAGACTCAAATAAATAAAATCAGAAATGATAGAGTAGTCATTACAACTGATATCACAGAAATACAAAGGATCATAGAGACTACTATGAACAATTATTGCCAACAAGTTGGCTAGCCTAGAAGAAATGGGTGAATTCCTACCTACAGCATGCATGCACCCTTCCAATGGTAAATCATGAAGAAATAGAAACTCTGAGCAGACTAATAATGAGTAAGGAGAATGAATCCATAATAAAAAATTTCTTGTCAAAGGGAAGCCCAGAATCTGATGGTTTCACTGCTAAATTCTATCAAACATTCAAAGAGCAAATCATACCAGTCGTTCTCGAAATCTTTAAACAAAATTGTAGGAGAGGAGATACTTCCAAATTTATATTACAAGGCCAGCATTTCCCTGATAACAAAGCCAGACAGGAACACTAAAAGAAAAAACAAACAAACAAAAAACTACGGGTTAATATTCCTGATGAGTATAGATGCAAAAATCCTCAATAAAATTCTAGCAAACCAAATTTAACAGCACATTAAAAGGATCATTCATCATGATCAAGTGGGATTTATCCTGGGAATGCAAAGATGGTTTAATGTGTGCAAACCTATAAATGTGATTCATCACATTCACAGAATGAGGGACAAAAACCATATGATTGTCTCAATAGATGCAGAAAAAAGCATTTGACAAAGTTCAATATCCTTTTATGATAAAAATTCTCAACAAATTAGGTATAGAAGGAATGTACCTCAACACAAAAAAGGCCATGTATGACAAACCCACAGCTAACATCATACTCAGTGGTGAAAGTTGAAAGTTTTTTTCTCTAAGATCAGGAAGAAGAGAAGGATCCCCACTCACTTTACTTGTATTTTACATAGTACTGGAAGTCCTAGCCAGAGCAATTAGACAAGAGAAAAAATAAATAATTAAAAGGCATCCAAATTGTAAAGTTGTTAAATCATCCCTGTTCGCAGATGACGTGATCTTATATATAGAAAATCCTAAAGAATTCACCAAAAACCTCTTAGAATTAATAAACAAATTCAGTAAAGTTGCAGAATATGAAATCAGCATACAAAAATTTGTAGTGTTTCAGTATACTAACCGCAAGCTATCCCCCCCCAAAAAAAATCAAGAAAGCAATCCCATTTATAATAGCTACGTACAAAAATATAATATTTAGGAATAAATTTAACTGAAGAGGTGAAAGACTGAAAACCATAAAACATTGATGTAAGAAATTGAGGATGACACAAATAAATGTAAAGATAACTCCTGCTCATGGATTAGAAAAATTAATATTGTTAAAATAATCTACAAAAGTTTGCGAAAGTGATCTTGAGCAAAAAGAAAGCTGGAGGTATCACAATACCTGGCCTCAAAATATATAACAAAGCTATATTAATCAAAACAGCTTGGCACTACCATAAAAGCAGACACATAGACCAATGGAACAGACTAGAGAACCAGAAATAAATCAGTGCATTTATGTCAGTTGATTTTTGACAGAGGTGCCAAGAACACACAATGGGGAAAGGACAGTGTCTTTAATAGATGGTGTTGGGGCAACTGGATATCCACATGCAGAAGAATGAAATTAGACCCTTATCTCACACCATATACAAAAATCAACTCAAAATGGATTAAAGACTTAAATGTAAGACCTGAAACTATAAAACTTCTAGAAGAAAATATAGGGGAAAACCTTCATGACATTGGTCTGGGCAGTGGTTTCTTGGCTATGAACCTAAAAGCACAGGTAGCAAAAGCAAAAATAGACAAATGGGATAACGTCAAACTAAAAACCTTCTGCACAGCCAAGGAAACAATTAGAGTAAAGAGACAACCTATGGAATGGGAGAAAATATTTGCTAACCATGTATCTGATAACAGGTTAATATCCAAAATATATAAGGAACTAAATCAACTCAGTAGTAAGAAAACAAATAACCCAGTTAAAAAATGGGCAAAGGATCTGAATAGACATTTCTCAGGAGAAGACAACAAATGGCCAAAAGGCATATGAAAAAATACTCAACATCAATCATCAGAGAAATTCAAATTAAAACCACTATGATATTTCACCTCACACTTGTTAGGATAGCCTTTATTAGAAATACAGAAGATAACAAGTGTTGGAGAAGATGTAGAAAAAAGGGAACCCTTGCACATTGGACAGAATGGAAGTTAGTACAGCCATTATAGGAAACAGTATGGTAGCTCCTCAAAATATTAAAGGCAGAACTACCATAAGATCCAGCAATCACTACTGGGTATATATCTAATGGAAATGTTGAAGAGATAATTGTACTCCCTTGTTCATTGCACAATAGCCTAGATGTGGAATCAACCTAAGTGTTCATCAACAGATGAATGGATAAAGAAAATGTGGTATATATACACAATGGAACACTATTCAGCTTTAATAAAAGAAGGAAATCCTGTTATTTGCAACAATATGGATGAACCTGCAGGACATTATGTTACGTGAAATAAGACAGACACAGAAAGATCAATACTGCATGATCTCTCTTATATGTGGAATCTAAAAATGCTGAACTTACAGAAGTAGAAAGTAGAATGATGGTTACCAGGGGCTGGGGAAGAGGGGTGTGTTGGGGAGATGTTGGTCAAAGGATACAGGATTTCAGTTAGATAGAAGAAATAAGTTCGAGAGTATTGTACAACATGGTGACTATAGTTAATAATAATGTATTGTATTCTTGAAAATTGCTGAGAGTCTGCGGCCATACCACCCCTAAGCGTGCCTAGTCCTACCTGATCTCGGAAGCTGAGCAGGGTTGGGCCTGGTTAGTACTTGTATGGGAAAGTTGCTGAGGGTAGATTTTAAATGTGCTTACTACAAAAAAAATAAGTATTTGAAGTAATGCATATGCTCATTAGCTTGATTTAGCCATTCTACAATGTATAGAAGAAAAAAAAGCCCATAATTTTTATTGGCTGCTAATAGTCTGAAATATGAATATGCCATAATTAATTCCCCTCATTGGTAAAGATTTGCTTTATTTCCAACTTTCATTATTATAGCATATGATGTAGTAAAATTATTATATATTATATCTTTT